ACCGACAAGCAGGACAGAACCCAGAGAGGGATGATTTGGGTCAAGCCCTCACGCTCCTACTCAGATTTCTTAATAACTCTAGACAGATCTGACTTTTCTGAGGTCAGCTTTTATGTCTGTCAAATGGGCACCAGCCACGGCTTCTGATTCCGATCTTCTGGGGCCCTCGTTCCTCCGATGGCCAAGCTGAGTGGCCTGAACCACTCCTCGGGCAGGACACCCCTCAGCCATTCACACTGTTGGGTCTACAAATGCTTTATTGAGCATCTTCTATGTGCCAGGGACTCTTCAAATGGAGAACAAGACACACAGGAATCCAGCAGGAACCCAGAGACCTGCCTGGCTTCCTCTCCCTCTGGGGCTGCCTGAGGAGCCCCAGATCTCTCCCATGGGACTGTGGGGAGCAATTTTCCACTTCCTTTAGTCCGTCCTGCCACCCAGGCTGAGCTCACACAGTGAACCCACGTGAGGGTATGAGAGCGCTGGATGAACTGCACCAAAACATAAAGGAGCCTGTGTGTATACACAGCCTTCACCTTCCCACAGTCTGATGTTATAGCATCGTCACGTTCGTGTGCCACGTTCCCGCCCTCTGGGAACCTGCCGGGGTCCTGCGTGGCCACCCGGCCAGAACGCACTGAACCTGAGGACACGCTTCCTTGCAAGGAGGAAGGTCGTAGGCACGGCGACCTGGGGGAATGTGGCTCTGGATGATTCGTGAGGCTGCTCATGGTTCTCAGCAAGAAAACAAACTCCAAAGGTGCAGGGACTGAGCTTAGAGCCCACCAAGACTCAGAGGCGCCCTGCGAAGGAAGAAGGCCCAAGACCTCAAGAGGGAAGGCCGACTCCCGGCTCCGGGGGAGCCCTGTGCCTCCTTTCTCCTCACCCACTGGAGGAGTTTCAGCTGTGATTTGAAAAGGCAGAGGCCAAGGGGAGCTTCAGGGACTGGCTGGGCTCTGGGCCTCATGAAGCAGCTCTGACTTCCTTTCCCTTTGCTTAAGCAGAAAATAATATTGCCAATAAGCACAGCCAAAAACTGGATCAGACGGTGCTTCAGTGGAGTCGAGGATTCTATTTAGGAAAAGGACACTTCGCGTTTCCCCTGAAATGAGAGCCCCAGAGGGTGAGAGGCTGGGCCTCGAGCCAGGAGGGATGTAAAGATGAGCACCCCGACATCACCAGGCAGGAGTCCATGGGGAGAAAAGCAGCCCTGTGGCAAGCAGGGCTGCAGGGAAGCAGGCACAGGGAAGTGGGCGCGCAGGCGGGCACCGCCATGCAAGCGGAGGGCCTGGGAACCCTCACCTCTGGGAAGCTCACTGCAAGGGCCTGGAGAGAGGCCGGAGTGCGGATTTGGGGACCTCGGCCTTCAAAACAGATCAACCCATTTCAACCCACATATAACAATGCCAGTCAAGACCATGTTTTGAGTCTGTGTTTTTAATTTCTCTGCCTCCCCAATTCCCACAGAGATGGCTGAACACCTGCTCAGCCTGGGACACACCACGTGGGCGCTGGTGGCCTGGAGAAGGCGGCTCCTGGCAGCCTCTCATCCTTCTCAGGGTCAAAGACAAAACTCCCACAATGGTCTACAGGGCCCACGAGATCTGCCCCCGGCTGCCCCAGGACCTGATCGATGGTGCCTCCTGCCCTCTCCACACCAGCCGCACAGACCTCTCCGATGCTCCCTGAACGTGCCAGCTTTCTCTGCCTTGGGGTCTTGGCACCTGCTGAGCCCCCTGCCTAGGACACTCTTATCCTCACAGAAAGCATGTTTCCTTCTGGTCTCTGCTCCAATGTCTCTTCATCAGAAAAGCCTCCAAGGCCCCCATTTAAAATAATGTTCCCCTTCTTCTTCCTCTCTAGCCCTCTCACCTGATGTGACGTTTTCCCACTTCGTGTACCCCTATCTGTCATTACATCATGTATTTCAGTGTTCGTGTGCTGTCCGCCTTTCCCTCTGCAGTGTAAGTTCTGAGCACAGGACCTCCAACCCTGGTACCATTCCCGGGCACTCTGCCGGTGCCCAGTAAGTATCTGTGAAGGAACAAATGACTCAATCTACATGCCAACAGCTTCAGACTATTTTTTTTTTTTTTTTTGCAAGACAGAGTACAGAGAGGACCCACTCAGGCTGAATGTGTGAAGGACGTAAGTGGATCAAACCTACAGCACTTACACGGACAAAGCACTCTGAGCCTGGATCGTCCGTGGCACGTTTCCCTTGGAAATCTCAGCCCTCTGAACAGTTGCAGAAAGCGCCCGATCCCCCAGACAGTGAACTGACAAGACAGTGGCAGCGGACGCTGAGATTTGCTGCCCAGATCCCCCTTCAGGACTGGAGGACCGACTCCCCTCGCTGCAGGACCAGCACCAGAGGTCGGCCCTCTGGGACCCAGCTTTGCCCCAGCCACACACCCCTCCTAGAGCGGCTCATGTCCGGGGACCTGGTAGGTGTGGGGGATGCCGGCCCAGGCACCCACCCCAGCTCAGACCCCTCAGAAGGGCTCTTCTAGTCTCAGCGGCCTCTCGGGGGTCTGCTGGCACTTCCCGAGACTGAATCATGGCCCCCTTTCCCCTCTGCCCATCTGCCTCCTCCCCTTCTCTTCCATAGTGTCGAACCCCAAACCACTCCCTAGGAAACTTCCCGCCTCTAGCCTCTGTCTCGGGCCAACACCCCGGAAACCCAACGGCGACGAGATTTCCAAGCCATTACTCGGTGCACAGGGCAGGCAGGTGGGACAAGCGTGAGACAAGGGCACCGGATGGGACCCAGGTGCTCCCACAGGGGAGCACATTAAAAAATGGGATATATTCATCAGTTGGGCTATTACACAGCAAGCCTGTCAGCCAGATCTAAGTATCCAAGTATATAAATCTCTAAAATGTGATCTTAGCTTAAGAAAAGGATAATTACACAGTGTATACACCGTGCAGGGTGCTAGGACTTCTTCATTGTTTTAAATACACAAAGTGATACTATGCATTGTTCTCAGGGTATAAAATATATTAAAAGCATAAAAACATGGACTGAAGGGCACCCACAAATTTCATGATGGGGTTTGTTTTAAGGAGGGAAGGGGGCATTGGTAAGGGAAAGAACGAAGGGAATTCAGCGACATTTCACTTCCTACAGTTTATGAATCTGAAGAAAATGTGACAAATGATAACATCTGTGACATTTCAGAAGCAGATTACATGAGCATTTGTTAAATTAGCCTCTGTCCTCTTCTGTGTTCAATTTTTCTCAGAATTACACCCCCAAAAAAGATTTTTCAGAGTTAAACATTTAAAAGATGAAATCATAAAATGATCAAAATACTATATAAGTCAAATTTAACTAATATGAGAACTTTCTAAGAGCAAAATGCAATGAAAACAAAATCATAAAAGAAGAGCGATCTGCCTTTAAAACAGTTTGAGTGTAGGACAAAAAAAATCTGGGTTAGAAGATAAATAACAAATTGCAAACAGATTTGCGGTAAAAATGGCACAGAATTAATATTCATAAGTCATTAAGAGTGAATTATGAAAAATCAAAAGTCTAATTAGAAAAGCAAGGGCAAAAAAAAAAGGGTTGTTAACAAAATAATAAGAAAACGCACATTTTCAGAAAACCCGACTACCAATGAAAATAATGCAAATTCAAATAAGATGGACTTTTTTTTAACTCGTCAAATTGGCAAATGTTTTCTTAAGATAATGTGTAATTCTGGCAAGAGTTGGAGGGTTCAACCAGTAAAGGTAAGAAGAAAACTGTCATTCATTAAGGGCGAGAGAACATCCGCTGGTTGAATCTTCCTGGAAGACTGTCCGTCAGTGTGTAATGAGAGCCTTGCATACGGGTGTCCTCCCTGGGTTACTTCTAGAAATCTAGCCTAAGGAAATAAGGAGAAGTGAGCAAAGGTTTTTTCAAGGATACGTGTGGCCATGTGACATTCAACATCAAAAAATCAGAATGAGTTAAAATCCTCAATACAGAGTCGCTTAAGCAGACTCATTTACATCACATGTAGGCAAATTTTTTTTTGCACCATCAGGTGTGTCTCCAACAGATACGATGGTGACACGCAAAAACAGCACAAGGCGAAGCGTGGAAAGCAAGGTACTGAGCCATGTATACGATGCGCCTCTAATTTTGTGTGTATTTATGTGCACATTTTGTGCTCAGAAAGCATGCACATGCCAAGGAGAGAGAGGCTGGGCCAGCAGGCCTGCGTGGCCGCGAGGGATCCCTCTGCCCATGAGGACCAGAGGGCTCTGGTCCCCAGGGACGGCTCACGACAGCTCTGAAGAGAAGCGGACTGGTCCCCCCACGGCTCTCCTTAACCACAGCGCCCTGACCGCACTGCCACCCCATGGACAGGGGACCCTCCTCCCAGGGGCTCTGGGAGAACCCACCCTTCTGACCCCTTGTTCTCTCCAGCATCTGCCTTAATAACCATTTTTAAGTACCAATATCAAAAATAAAAACCACACTCACTAAAGCAATAGGAGTCGCACTGAAATTTTGAATCTGAGGCCACACTCTAAAATCTCCAGGGACAAATCAGTGACTTAAATTCTCCAGGAATCAAGGTGTGGGGCCAAAGTACCGGTTGTGGTTTCACGCAGCCTCTCCTGTCTGCCCCGAGGAGCTGCACGTTAGCCAGGACTCCGCAGACTCTCCAAACCCAGTTTGAATGAGCTTAGTAAAGAGCAGAATTGGTTAAGTCAATAGCCAAATCACGGGAGAGGCAGGGCTGGGGCCAGCCCCACAGACCCCGGGACCCTGACTTCTCTCCCCCTCTACGGGCGCCTTGCGTTGGTTCGGTTCTTCATAGGCAGTTTTCACGTGGACCACAGAGCTCTGACACTGAGCAAAGCAGGATTCTCTCTCCCAGATCCCAGTTGAAGAATCCCAGGACTTCGTTTTCCCTGGCTCAGATCACACGTCCATCCTTGTGACCCGCAGGTCAAGTTTTGCTGCCCTTTTTTAACTCGTCAAATTGGCAAATGTTTTCTTAAGATAATGTGTAATTCTGGCAAGAGTTGGAGGGTTCAACCAGTAAAGGTAAGAAGAAAACTGTCATTCATTAAGGGCGAGAGAACATCCGCTGGTTGAATCTTCCTGGAAGACTGTCCGTCAGTGTGTAATGAGAGCCTTGCATACGGGTGTCCTCCCTGGGTTACTTCTAGAAATCTAGCCTAAGGAAATAAGGAGAAGTGAGCAAAGGTTTTTTCAAGGATACGTGTGGCCATGTGACATTCAACATCAAAAAATCAGAATGAGTTAAAATCCTCAATACAGAGTCGCTTAAGCAGACTCATTTACATCACATGTAGGCAAATTTTTTTTTGCACCATCAGGTGTGTCTCCAACAGATACGATGGTGACACGCAAAAACAGCACAAGGCGAAGCGTGGAAAGCAAGGTACTGAGCCATGTATACGATGCGCCTCTAATTTTGTGTGTATTTATGTGCACATTTTGTGCTCAGAAAGCATGCACATGCCAAGGAGAGAGAGGCTGGGCCAGCAGGCCTGCGTGGCCGCGAGGGATCCCTCTGCCCATGAGGACCAGAGGGCTCTGGTCCCCAGGGACGGCTCACGACAGCTCTGAAGAGAAGCGGACTGGTCCCCCCACGGCTCTCCTTAACCACAGCGCCCTGACCGCACTGCCACCCCATGGACAGGGGACCCTCCTCCCAGGGGCTCTGGGAGAACCCACCCTTCTGACCCCTTGTTCTCTCCAGCATCTGCCTTAATAACCATTTTTAAGTACCAATATCAAAAATAAAAACCACACTCACTAAAGCAATAGGAGTCGCACTGAAATTTTGAATCTGAGGCCACACTCTAAAATCTCCAGGGACAAATCAGTGACTTAAATTCTCCAGGAATCAAGGTGTGGGGCCAAAGTACCGGTTGTGGTTTCACGCAGCCTCTCCTGTCTGCCCCGAGGAGCTGCACGTTAGCCAGGACTCCGCAGACTCTCCAAACCCAGTTTGAATGAGCTTAGTAAAGAGCAGAATTGGTTAAGTCAATAGCCAAATCACGGGAGAGGCAGGGCTGGGGCCAGCCCCACAGACCCCGGGACCCTGACTTCTCTCCCCCTCTACGGGCGCCTTGCGTTGGTTCGGTTCTTTTCACGTGGACCACAGAGCTCTGACACTGAGCAAAGCAGGATTCTCTCTCCCAGATCCCAGTTGAAGAATCCCAGGACTTCGTTTTCCCTGGCTCAGATCACACGTCCATCCTTGTGACCCGCAGGTCAAGTTTTGCTGCCCCATGACAAAGAAAAGGGCTGAGCAGACAAAGGAGGTAGATGTCTGCATAATTCCCTCAGTCACAGCCCATGTCCCTGAAAATCTGGTCTCAAAACTGCACAGTGGCCACAGAAGCAAAAGGTCTGAGCCAGTCTTACAAATATCCAAGATGCCTTCATCTCACTAAAGCAATTCCAGCCTCAGAGACTCACCAGTCCTTTCTCAAGACAGCATAAATCTATGCAACTCAGTCATTCTTTACGAAATGTTCTGTCTAGAATGCTGAATGTTTATCCAAACAAACTGCTTCAGGCCGCTATAGGATGACTGAAAGTCACTGCTGTAGATCGCCTCGTGAACAAGCCTTCCTTCACGGATTCCCGACCAACGCAGGGAGGGGCTCTGCCATGAAAGCCCCCTCACTCTGACTCCCAAAAAGCCCCATGTCCTTAGCCTTGGGAACCACAAACTTCCAAAAATGGTGACAAAGGGAACAGACAGACAATGCTGGGGCTGTGCGGCATGAATCCCAGCTCTGGCCCTCTGCTCTCCCGGCTGGCAAAAGAGACTGAAAGCTGAGTGGGGCGGTGGGGGGGACCCAAGAATTCTCATGACATCCTCCGGTTTGGAATGAAGTTGGTCTGAGCGGGGGGTTGCATGCCCCTGGGAACATGTGCAAACCACCATTGCCAGTAGGAGCCTGATGTAGCCCCTCGCTCACTGGGCAGCCCGTGGGGAGGGGAAAATGTCAGAACAATCTCCAGAGCCGAGAGCTGAGCTGGGAGCATGATGTGAGGTCACCGATGAGCCTCCCACCTCCCAGGAAACAGACACACACTGTCCTGCTCGGGGCCAATTAGCAGCGCTGCAGAGCTGCAGATCAAAGTCAAGTCCGGGGCCTGGGGCCAGGCCGCCTACAGGCTCTCTGCATCATCCCTTCCCACATCGCACCCTCAGGCCACAGCAAGCCCAGGACGCTGTGAGCTGTTTGCAGACTGCAGCCCTGAGGGGAGGGCCCACAGGCCCTGATAAGCTGGGAAAAGGAAAAAGTTCTGGAAAAAATAAAAGAGGCACTGGTAACAATCAGCCCAATATTCTCACAGGTGAATCCTCGCAGCCTTGCAAGGAGCGCCCTTCTGCTCCAGAGCCGTGGATACTGCAAGGAACATCACCAAAAAGAGACTTCAAGAGGTCACCGATTTATGTAACATCCCAGAACAGACAGGTGACTAAAATGTCAGACAGTGACCAGCTACAAATACGTGTGTGCACATCTGTGAGCACAGGTCCCGAAGGCATCCGCCTAAAGGTGACCCCCACCCCTTCACTCCAGACAGTCTTTTCCAGACAGGAATTCAGGTCCACTGAACCAACCTGGTTTCTCCAGAAGAGCTGAATTTTTAGGTTTAACCCCCAATTTTGAAATATTATTAAGCCAAACAAAATTGGTCAGCTGCCTGAACATAGCTCGTGGTCATCAATTTTCTGATTCCTCCTCACTGACATAGTGTCAATACCAATATTGACCCAAGATCTTCTCTCAAAGTCAGCAAATAAGTGTTTTTTTGTGTGTGTGCCCAAGTTGGGCCCATCTTTGGAATAAAAATGCAGCTTTGTATTAGGGAATATATTGAGACAGTATGTGAACCATTCAAAGGAGAAAAATCCTAAGAATATGCCAGTGGTTTTACATACTTTAACATGCATTCTGGATTTTTACAACAAACAAAAATAACCCTTAGCAGAACAGAAATGCTTAGATCTCCCAGACTGCTCAGGACTTTTGATGGCAAGATATGAAACTCAACTCAAATTACAGTAAGGAAAACACAAAAGGGATTTTTAATGACTTGCCTACCTGGAAGGTCCGCGTAGACCTTTGCTTTAGGCCTGGCTGGAAACCAGAGGCTGAGCAGCCGGTCCCGACTAGTTGGCCACAGCCTGGCCCTGCTTCTCTTTCTCGTTTGGCCTCATTCTCTCCAGCTGCAGGTAGCTTTCTCTGAGGAGTTAGGAAAGCTGACTGCAAGAAGCTCAGGTTTAATTCATACCGAAAGTGTGTGAGTAGCAAGAAAAAGAATATCTTTTCTACAGTTTCATCAGGAAATACAAGGTGGGTTCTAATAGGCTCAGCTTGGAACACATGCATATATCACTAAATCGTATATCGAATAAGGACCTGTATAGAGAAAAGAACTCTCACACTCAGTAATACAATGGCAAATAACCCAATTAGTAACTGGGCGAAGGATCTGATTAGACATTTCTCCAAAAGAGATACGCAAATAGCAAATCAGCACATGAAAAGATATTCAACAGCAATTGTCATGAGAGAAATGAGAATCAAAGCCACAGTACAATACCACGTCACAGCCACTAAAATAAAAAAGACAGTAACAGGTGTTAGCAAAAATGTGATGAAATTTTTTTCACTCTCATTCGCTGCTGGAAGGGATGTAAAAGGGTGAATCCGCTCTGGAAATCAATTTGACAGATCCTCAAAATGGTAAACTCGGAGTGACCGCAAGACCCAGCAGCTCCACTGCGAGGCACACACCCGAGAGAAAAGAAAACACACATTCACACAAAAACTTGTACACAAATGTTCACAGCAGCATGATTCAATTATGACCAAAAGAATGTGCTTCCATGGGTGAATGGATAAGCAAGGTGGTCTAGCCATGCCACGGAATATTACTCAGTCACAAAAAAGAATGAAGTGCTGATGGATGCCACAACATGGATGAACCTTGAAAACATTATGCCAAGCGAAAGAAGCCAGACTCAAAAGACCGCACGTGACATGATTCTATCATGTCCAGAATAGACAGAAGCAGCCAGTGGTTGCCAGGGCCCGGGGAGTGTGGGGGTTTGGAAAGTGACTGCTGACAGGTAAGGAGTTTCATTCTGGAGTGATGAAAATATTCCAGAATTAGACAGTAGTGATGGTTGCACAACTTTGTTAACAATAAAGCAAACTGAACTAATTGTACATTTTCAAAGGGTGAATTTTGTGATACGTGAACTGTATCTTAATGAGAAAGTTAATTAAAAATTAGAATTTGATAAGGTGACCAATTACCAGTTGGTATACAAAAACTAGTAACTTTTCTATGGAAATGGTAATCAATAATAAGTATAATTTTATTTTTTTAAAGATATTCTCCCATATACAATAGCAACTAAAAATCTAAAATTCATAGTAATAAACTAGATAGGAATCATGCAGAATTGATATAAAGAAACCTTCTTAAATGCAAGTAAATGGAAAGACATTGCTCTTCAAACAAAATATAAAAATAATTATTTTGAAACTTACAAGAAGTAGAATTTATCTGGAAAAGTACTCATATAGAATATCCAGGTAATTTCTGAAAAAGAAGATGACAGAATGGTAGGGAAAGGAAAAATCTGCCCCTAAAATATATTATGAAGCTATAATAATAAATATCTGCTTTTACTAGAGAAGAAATAGACCAGTAGAACAGAATAATGAGTCCATAAATAGGCTTAATTACACATTGAATTTAATCAATAATAAACTCGGTATTTCAGATCAAAGGGAAAATTGGAAATTATCCAATAAATGATGTAATGATTATCTGAGTCTTTGGAGAAAATTAAGTAGAATCCCTACTTTACTTCTTATAATGAAATAAATAATTGGTGGATCCAAGCTTTAAACAAAAGTAAACCATAAGACTTAAAATAAAATATAGGAAATTGACATATTCTTGAAGTGAAGAACTCCTACTAAGGCCAGAGACATAAAGGGAAAAAAAATTGGTTAATATCATTGCAATAAAATGTTCAACTTCCATATAACAGAAGAATTTACAAATAAAAGTAAAATATGTGACAAACCAGGTAAAATATTTGGAATACATATAAAATAGAGATTTTCCTCTGTTTATGAAGAATGTAGGCAAATCAATAAGGAAAGGCTTGTCATTCTGATTGAAAAATGGGCAAAAGGCATAAACAGACACAGAAAAATAGACACCAATGATCAAATTAGCATATGAAAGTGTTCAACCTCATTTATAATTTCTAACAAAGGAAATTTTAAAAACTGAAATGTCAGTTTTTCCATCCTTCAGACTCTCAAAAAATGCAAATGCCCAAAGGGTGTGAGACATTGCCGCTCATCACAGTGAGGGTGTAAATTAATGAAAATCACACATTTCAGAAGAGCACTTGAGCAGTAGCTACAACCTTTCCCTTCCTGGTGAACCACGCATGTCCCACCGCTGGCAACCTGTCCTACAGTCACACGGACCAAGAGTACCAAGCCACCTGCGGCAGTGCATCCTCCACCACCTGCGCCCGAGCAGCGCCGCCTCTGGCGGGCATCTTCTGGCCCCTCCACGGGGTTCTTCGGGCGTCTTTGACCAAGGCCACTCTTCCTTCTGTAGCCAGAGACGTCTTTCCAGAATGCAAAGCTGACTGTTTTACACACGCGCATCTTGCCTGATAACCTGATACTCCTTCAGAGGTTTCCCACTCCTCCAAGACACACCCCCACCTACAGCCACGGCCTGTCTGGTCTGCCTGCCCCTCCGGCCTCACCCTGGGCCAAACTGCCTCTGTTACTCCTTCACACTGCGATGCCACTTCTGCCCCTGGGCCTTTGCACATGCTCTTCTTTCTGCTTGGAGGTTTTAGGTTTATTCTTCCATGCGTGTGTGAGTGTGATTTGTGATAAAGGCATACATTTCACTCTGCTCTTCCTGTGATGAAGAGAAAGAAAAGTAAGAGGTGTTGTGACCAATTCTAAAGCAGCAACTGCCACTCCCGTTTGCTGGGCCTTCCCCCGAAACAGCCCCAGCCTGACACCGTCTCAGGGTGCTCACTGCCCAGCCAGCTCACCCTCCTGCCCTTATCACTGACCACCAGCAATGAGACCGTCTGCTGGAGGAGGCATCTTCTTCCCCTTTCCACTTTGGCAGCAAAGAAACTCAGCCACAGCTGCCTGGTCTGCAGCCTTCCAGCCGCGCCCGCACATGTCAGGACAAACCCTGCACGGACGTCACAGCTCCTCTCGCCCAGCCGCTCAGAGGGTCTCCAGTCAAAGTCCACGACAGCCGTCTCTGCAAAGTGAGCTCCCGTAAATGTATTATGGTTTCTTCTTGACAGTCTGTCCCCAGAATAAAATAAGGGGATGGGCACCTGATAGAATAAAAATCCTGTTGGATAATTTGGCCAGTCTTTTAAAACTCGTATATTTAAAGAAAAATCATGACCAGTCATCAAATTTGGGTACCGTGTTGAAATGGACACAGTGCCTCTGGGACGCCGTTGTCGGGACTGGATTCATGGGCGAAGACAGAGCAAGGAGAAAGCTTTATTCAACTCTATGGGCCCCGTGCCCAGCAGACCCCTTGGGCCACAGCAGACATTCAATAAATGCTTGTGTGACTCAGACAGAGAAAGACAAATACTGTGTATGACCTCCCTTATACATGGAATCTAAAAAATAAAGAAAAAGACTCATAGATACAGACAGCAAGGTGTGGGGGATGTCAAATAGGTGAAGGGGGCCAAATGCACAAGCTTCTAGTTATAAAACAAGTAAGTCCTGGAGATGTGATGTACGGTGTGGGAACTATAGCTAATTAGGGTGGATTTCCTATTTGCAAGTTGCTAAGAGAGTAGATTACAAGTTCTCATCACAAGAAAAAACGATTCGTAACTGTGTGGCAGTGGGTGTTCACTAGACTTACTGCGGGGACCCTTTTACAAGACATGCAAATACCAAACCATGACAACAAATGGTAAAAACGGTCCCCTTCAATGCTCAATATGAATTCTAAGAAAGCAGAATGTCACAAGGCTTTGCGGCTCCCTGACTACCCCCTCGAAAGAGTAGGAAAACAACTGCTTCCTTATCTGTCTCCACTGCTGTAAACACGGGAGGAGGCAGTTTCTGCCTGTTCACTATTGTACTTTCACAGTTTTTGAACACAGATAATAAACAGCTATTTGAGGAATGAAAAAAAAAAACTGCTTGTGGACTGAATAGATAAGCAAACGGATGGTGCCTTATGGCAGATTCAAAAAATTTGCATTACATGGACTTTTCTTGGTCACCAAGAACAAAGACATGGGGGTCAGCTCCAGCAAGAAAGCTGGACATGGGGACCCCCAAGAGTCCTGGCTGGCCAGGCTGGCCCCCACTCAGCAAGCCCAGACCATATTCAGAAAGGGGCCTGGACTCTAGCAGCCTAACAGCTGAGATCCGGGCACCTACAGCAAAACGCAGACAGCGCGCACACTATGAGCCCACGGTTCTTAACTTCAAGACAGGAAAGGGGGGTTAGGGGAAGGGGACGCAAAAGTGTTTTTTTATCCTGCTCTGTATTTTTTATTTTGAAATTTTCCCCATGAGTATGTTAATTCTCATAATTTATAAAATGTACAATTTATAAAAGGAGTTCCATGTTCTCCTTCACTGTCTGTAATGACATGGCCTTTCTCTCGGGCTTTCCTTGTTGGAGAATTCGAGTCTGGTGCATCTGGGGTGGGACAGGCCTGGGGCAGCCTCCTGCCTGGTGGTCCCGCACCCCAGGAGAGGGTGGCCGTGGGCGGCTCTGGCCAGCTGCTTCCAGCTTCAGGAAGAACCGACCACACTCTTCCCTTCCATGGGCCTGCCTGCCCTGTCTCTTCTCACCATTGGATGTCAAGGGCTGAGAGGAGAGTGTGGACCTTGGGGACAAGGGGCCACGGAGCCTTTATGGAGCTCTGGCTTAGACCAGAGGGCCCGGGAGGGCTCTGTGGCTCCCATGTGGGCCTCGGAAGCTCCCCAGGGCCAGGGATCCACACGGGGATTTGGATCCAGGTCCCCAGTGAAAACAGTGGAAATGTGCCTGGCCTTGTTTTCTTTGCATAAGTCTCCCTAAAAGACTTGCAGGCACAAGACATGCCACAGCTAACAGTCAGGGGCAGCTAAAGACAGTGCAGTCCAAGCAACTATGCCAAACACCCCCATCGGCCTTCCAGAGGCCCCCGCGCCCACTCTGTGCCCAGGACATGCACTTGCGTGCTGGCATCGGTCTGCTCCCTGGCCCTCCAGCCTCCTGTTGGAAGGCCCAGGCAGGGGGAGACAGGACAGTGAGGTCTAGGTATTTTCCCTCCAGGCTTCTCCCTGCGAGCTAACCAGCGAATGACCAGAAGTCACTGCTCCTCTGCAAGCACATTCTCCCCAGGGCTCTGCCCCTCTGGGTTCCTGCAGCGGGTCCCTGGCTCGCCCAGGAGCTGCACAGGCCCCAGGCCAGGGCGTGGCTCCCTATCCTGCCCCCGTAGTCCTCACTCCCTCTACGAAACACCCCTCAGACGCAAGTTCTGTCTGTTCCCTCTCAGACCTGCCTGATGCCGCAGTTACCCACAGAAACACACAGGGTGTCACGTCTAGACTTTACGTGAAGGGATGGAGCACATGCCGAAAGGGCGAAGCCCACGCTGCAGAATGAAAACTAGGAAAGGTATGTGCACACGCTGTACCCCACCAGGCACACAGACCTCCCCCCACAAGGGACTGTGGGGGGCCCGTCCCCAGTGTGGGAGGGGTGACTTGGGTCCCATCCATAGGACTGCCTGTGTGTCCCACGCCATCCCTGGCCCTCTTCAGGCCCACAGGCTCCCGGACAGGCCTGAGTACTCAGGGCGAGCTGGGCTCCACCCACTTCCTGTGACAGGAGCGAGTTCCCTCTGCCAGCTCTGAGGGAGGCAGTGCCCTCTCCACCGGGAGAATGGCCCTCCCTTCTCCCTTCACCCCCGCGGACGGAGCCCCCTTTGCAGCAGGCCCCCTACCCAGACACGCAGTCTTGGCTTCCACACCTGTTAATGTGCTCCTTTAAGTCAGCTCATTTCTGCACGTTCTGCATCCTTGTGACCCAAACGCAGCCTTTCGGGTGTTACCGCAGCAAGTGGGCAGCCTGATGCTCTGCTGGGGGTCTCCCTCCTGCACCCCCACCGAGGAGCTGCAGCCTCTGCTAGCACGAAGGGCTGCTCACCTGCCGTCGATGGGTCGCCCTCTGCCAGAAAGCGTGCTGGTAACTGCCCCCACCAGCCCTGCCGCGCACCAGGAGTGCCTCCAGCCGGGGTGGCTCTTGGGCAGCCCCTGGGCCTCAGCACAGACCCTTTGCTTCCCTCCCAACACACTGTGGGGACAAGGACTTGGGGCCAGTTCCCAGCAGAGAGCTTTCTATACTCATAGGAATGCTCAGAAATCTGTTCCCTTGGGAGGGAGCCCCAGTCCACACAAGAAATGTGTAAGACAGGATTGGAAGAAAGGGGTTTAAAATGTTTATTTTGGGGGGCACCATAGTCCTGAAAATGAAGAAACCTGAATTCTAACCTGGCTCTGCCGCTT